TATCGATTTGCAAAAAGTCACATTATTCAAATTGTCTTATTCTCCAGGGCCCGTAATTACATATTCGGTTGTGATTGATTTTGTTTTGATTGTGGAATCATTTTTGTATGACCTAGCAATACAAACATCTCTAAAAGCCAATCTGAAAACACCTTTTATCTCTAATAATATCAATCAAATCAAGGAATTACTAATTGAAATAGATAAAAACGAGATACATAATTCGGGAAAATGTCTTGATAATCAGAAAAAGAGGGTTTTGAAACATATTTCGAATGCATTGGACTCTTTATTGGTTTTCGGACTCAATACATTCTCAAATTTCTGTCTGAAAACGGTCATTTGCCTCGTGGCAATGAATGCAGAATTCATTCCAATGATCAAATTGCAACTATTTTATTAACATGTACTACAAACACTCTATTTAAAAATTACTGTTCCAAGTCTAACGACCAATTGGGTAAAAAATCCAACAACAGGAAATTGAAAACACTCACTGGCTAATTTTTTAGGTAATATAGGAATTCTCCAAGATAAATATAGGTAATTAGGTATAACAAACGGCATGTCTATCAAACTAAAATACATTTTCCCCAATTTTCTTTCGATCAATCTCATGATAAGTTTATGTTCTGCGGGTCCTGTATAAGTAGGTGTGGTGTTTACCTCTAATGAGATTGAATCACTACAATTTTTGCCAATATATTCAATTCGAATGGGTTGCTGTAGGTGGGTATTTGTGTTTTATTCTGGTTTTTGCTTTGAAACTTCGTTTTTCCATAATAAAATCGAATGGGATGCGAAGAAGGGCTCAGTTGACGGCAAAATCGGCTCAATAATGATCTAAAACTAAAATCGAAATACGCGGTCGCCTTATAGCGCTATAAGCGCTTGTCGTTTCGAGCCGCTGGTTAGGCCTGACTAAGTGACGTCACCCACGGAGCATGCAGGCCTTGTTTTATCGGTGGTAACGTCCATGCATTATTATTGCAAAGAAGTTATTGCAAGAGTTATGTTTAGAAAAACTTTCGTGGGACTATATTTTACCAGAATCCATTATGAATTCTTGGGTGGAATTCACTTCAGATCTAAATTATTTAAATAATTTGAATATTCCTCGGAAATTTATATGCATTGATCAAATATTCGCATCTTTACACGGATTTGCGGACGCGTCAGACACAAGTTACGGCGCTTGCGTTCACAAACATTGAGAAATAGAGCAGGTGTTTCGAAAGCAAACCTTTTATGCGCCAAATCAAAGGTGGCACCGATGAACTTATTGACAATGCCAAAACTTGAGTTAAGACTCATTCATAAGATTATACAGTCTTCCAGTATCGAATTCGATGATATTCATTGTTGGTCAGACTCGACTATCGTATTAGAGCGTGGTTAAAAACAACACCTAGCTTGTTCAATCCTTTTGTATCACATCGCGTAGTTGAAATACAGAAATTGACTCAAAATTGTCAAAATATCGAATGATGTGCCGTTGTGCCTACTGCAGGAAACCCAGCGGACATTGTTTCGCGTGGTTTGATGCCGAAACATCATTTACGACGAGTATTGGGCAATCAGATTTTTTTTTATTTTCAAACTCTACTTATCCGAATCGAGGCGGTGCTCAATTCCCGTCCCTAATTTTCATTAACATCCGATCCTGAAGACTTATCCGCTTTGTCTCCATATCATTTTCTGATCGGAAAGCCTATGATGTCTATAATAAAACGACTATCACAATAAAAGAAGCTTCAAAAGTTGTACGACCATTTTTGGTGTAGATGGAGTCGAGAGTATATAAGCGAACTTCAACAGAGACGACGCGCTGGAAAGGAAACGAAGGCAAATTGGAAAAAGGTCAATTAGCTCTTGTACGGGATGACAACCTTCCACCAACTAGATGGCGATTATGTCGAATTTTAGACTTCACCTACGGCAGTGATGGAGTAGCTCAAGTCGTCCCTATCAAGACCGCAGACGGCATTATTTCTCGTGCCGTAAATAAGTTATATGTCCGCTTCCAGTGGTCGGCTGAGTCCTCCAAGGCCGAGGGCATGTACAATAATGCTGAGTCCGTCCTCTGTATCAATCTCGTTCACGTGGTGACATAACAGTTGACAGTTTTGTTTTTTCAATAATAATTTTCAATTTTTAAGAACTTGTCAGAAAGATGTATTCATATTGACATTCAGTTTCATGATTAAAGTTAAATATTCAATACGAGCATAAATAATCAATGACGGCTAAATAGTAAATATCAAGTAAGCTGCCGAATGGTCGGCAGCTTACTTGATATTTACTATTTGCAATTTTTAAGAACTTGTCAGAAAGATGTATTCATATTGACATTCAGTTTCATGATTAAAGTTAAATATTCAATACGAGCATATAATCAATGACGGCTAAATAGTAAATATCAAGTAAGCTGCCGAATGGTCGGCAGCTTACTTGATATTAAATTAAGCCGTCATTGGCATAATACTTTATTGGTGCGAACCTTGTTCGATATTACACGACACAATATGAATTTCATGAATGGAATGATGAAATTGAGTGTAGTACTTTTTTTTGCAATTTCGTCGCAGCACTGGGACCAAACGCCCCATAAGTCGAAACTTGTGCGGGGTTAGTTAAGCATACAAACACAAACATTCATGGCTTGACTAAGATTCGAACCCATATGTCTCGGTGGGAGTCCCCATACGATCTCAGCGCATTCACGCTCTCGACCACCGAGCCGCCTTAATCAAATGAATATTCAAGTCTCGAAATTTGTACAGAGAATCTGATTGGAGTATATCGATTTTCAGTAGAAGCTGATTCAAGTTCAGTTGAAAAGTAAATCTTTTTTATTTCCAATAGTATGTATATATTACAAATAATGAAAGCTCAGAGCTTAGCATATTTACAATAATTATATATAGGTATATCATCTTGATGATTTGTTCATGAAATTGATACATACATACATTTTCAATGAAAAACCACACAAAATTACAGATTCATTCGAAGTACTCAATCAAATGGATATTCTTTCTTTCCCTGGCATATTATTCCATTGCAGCTTGTAAGAATTCGTTTTTGATAGAGTGATTTTTGTATTGTAATTTTTCAACATCGTCATCGATAACTTCTTCGATACCTTTTTCATTTTGCGGAACCTTGGATATATGTTGTCTGTTATCGAAGTGATATGTGCAATATCTGTGGCCCAATTTGAACCAATCTTTGAAGATACTGGTTACTGGATTATTAGAATCTTTCGATCATTCGATGTCCACACTCAACAGTAAACATTGTCAAATTTGACATTTTATTAGAAACATGTGACATGAACTGACATGAAACAACAAATGTAGTCACAGAACACTGAAATTATACACTGTTGCCGAGTGTAAGGGTTCCTTTTGGAAGGAATACTTAAGGGAGGTCTATAAAACAAGTATAATATCAAGTACTCAGGAGTCCTCAAGGAATCCTCAGATAAGGAAGAGTTGAGGGTTTTTTGAGGAAACGACACACAGTCTATGTTCCATATTGACGTCATTAGATCTGTGTGTTTTGCCTGATTCTTGTCAAAAATGTCCGCGATGAAGTTTGACAAAAATGACATTTTGAATGTAGAATGTCAGACTTTTCCAATCTAGTACATTTTGTTAGTCTGTTACCTTTTCCCCAGTGCTGCCAACTCAGCCATTAGGCATCTAACAGCCATTTTATGGCTAGTTCTAGTAATATTCTCTCAACTGTGGTTCTAGCCCTTTTTGAACCCATCTAGCTATCAAAAATAGCAACTGGCTATTTAGCTACCTATTTTTCTCAGCTATTTTTCATTCTGAATTTTTCTGAAAATATTTTCATTTGCATAATATTCCCACTCAACAGGAAAACATATACATTGAGTGCAGAAACACCACCATTTGGCAGGCAATGAAATATGGAATTTGCTATGTAGGGTCCAGTAGATCTAAGCTCTATAGACACATCTCACTCTAGACTTAAATTTTTGATGTCAGAATCGTAGTCCATGGTCTTAATTCTTGTTCTTGCTAAAAAAAATTGCAAAAAATGGCTAGATCAGCCAAAAAATTGCTAAACAATTGTTCGCTTGCAAAGCGTTTCATTTTTAGCCTTTTTCCGCCTTTTTCCAACATCCAAAATTGGCTATTGGCAACACTGCTTCTTCATAGGAAATCTGCGTAATGAAAAGGCACTGTCTACACGACCGCCGCGGCGGTTGGATACGGAAACATAAACAACCACCGCGGCGGTTACCTATTTTCATATAGAAGACCGCCGAGAAATCCGCCGTGGCGGTTGGATACTGATATATAAACAACCGCCGACGGTTACCTATTCTTATCATATACGTATTAATAAACAATACGGATCATAACGGGTGCCAGGATGAAGCCAAAAATATGAAACAAATGAATATCCATAAGGATTTGGTGGCATGATACGCATGCGCCATGCGCTATTCAAGACATGCGTTTCGGTGGACAATGACGTTTACTAGCCTTTCAATCAAAGCAGTATGTGTCTGATCGTTTCAAAACTTTTCCTTATGGATAGTCATTTGTCTTCAAAAATCGGCTCCATGTTTCGCTATGGAAACAGATAGAGATTATCCGTATTGATTATTAATACGTATATGATTCTTATATAGAAGACCACCGTGAAACATGGGGAAGGAGAATTTCGTTTCTGCATGAAAAAGGAGACTACTTCTCCCACACAAACTAACCTAACTCGCCTAAATAAACCTTTCTCCTGAGAAGTATATTTTTCGAAAAATTATTTGTAAGAAAAAGTTTGAAAAAAATTAGGCCTTGCAGGGGTTGAACGCAAGTCACCGCCGTGGTGGTCAGGTACACTGTACACTGTCAACTGAGCTATCACTTTGCTCGGAAGTACTTTCTATGAAGAAGGACGAAATATCGTCGCGGCGGTCGTTAATGAATCAGCATAATTATTTAGATCTATGGAATCAGTGAGGAATCAGTAACCAACCGCCGCGGCGGTCGTGTAGACAGTATCTAATGAAATGAACAACACTGTATTTATTTTTTATTTATTTATTTGAAATTTCAAAGAGATAACTAGGTAGTTGGTTTTGAATTTCATAAATATGGGTATAACAGATGATGTAACTCTCCCGACTGAAGAAGAATTAACTGTACAAGAAGTTAACTTATCAGGACCAGCTCTAAAAGCTGGTGCCTTTCATCTAGGGAAGGCTTGCGAGTTCGAAAATAATGTTAGGTTAAAGTATTATCTAATCAATTTCAAGAACATGATGAATTATTATTTCAGGAATTTATTCTATGTAGAAACGAATTGAAGGATCCAAGAGCATGTATCAATGAAGGCAAAGCTACAACGAACTGTGCATTGAATTTCTTCAGACAGGTTAAGAAGACTTGTGCTGATGAGTTCATGCAATATGTAAACTGTCTGGATAAATCTAGCCCTGATCAAAAATTTTTACCGTAAGTGAACCAATACTATGATTATTCCATTTCTGGATGGAAACCAGTGTGCTTTATGAGCCATGTGAGTAAGTCAGAGATTATTTGACCATGCTCAACAACTTTTCAAGGTGCCGAAAGACACAGGGAGTGTTTGACAAATGTGTCAAAGACAATTTGGGTATGGAAAGACCTCCTTATGATTACTTTGCCAGAGTTCATGTCCACAAAACTGCTAGACCTAGACCACCAGTTGAAGGACCTGCAGTGTATGAAGATGCTACACCAGGTCTTCCAGAAGACACTCCAAGACCAGAAGCAAAATATGGATCACGTTATATTTTCATGTGGTAATACTGCAATCATGGTGTTGTGTAGTTTGTACAAGTATGTATCTGCTAGAACTATTGTAAATAAATTATAATATGAATCTTTGAGATATACCTATTATCAAAAAGCCACCAATTGGTAAAATCTAGGGTAAAATGGTCAATGAATTGAAATGTTTTGGCAATATCCCCATCATTGATAGATGAATAGTAGGTAATGCATAATGGAAATCCTGCACCAATGTGATTTTGGCTGCCAAAGCTGGCTGCTAAAATTTCCGAACTTACCCGACAGACTATACCAGTGGCGGGCGGCCATTCTTTCATGATTCAATTACTTTCTACTTCTACTTTAATTGAAATTGCATCACTATACAACATACTTTTTTTTCATACTTCCCATCAGACTTTTATAATAATACTTAGTAGGGTCCTTTACTGTTGAAGCCTAGAATCGTATGATAGCGAAATAATTACTTCCAAATGGGTCCAGCGACTTGTACAGGGTGAATTAGCTTTTTTCAAAATCATTTTTTTTACCATATTTCGCATCAGACTTCCGTGATTAAATATAGTAGGTTACGTTACTTTTGAAGACTAGAATCGTATGGTAGTGAAATAATTACTTCCAAATGGGTCCAGCGACTTGTACAGGGTGAATAAGCTTTTTTCGAAATAATTTTTTTTACCCTATTTCGCATCAGACTTCCGTGATTAAATACGGTAGGTTACGTTACTATTGAAGCCTAGAATAGTGTGATAGCGAAATAATCACTTCCAAATGGGTCCAGCGACTTGTACAGGGTGAATTAGCTTTTTTCAAAATCATTTTTTTTACCATATTTCGCATCAGACTTCCGTGATGAAATATGGTAGAATACGTTACTATTGAAGCCTAAAATCGTGTGATAGCGAGATAATTACTTCCAAATGCGTCTAGCGACTTGTACAGGGTGAATTAGCTTTTTTCAAAATCATTTTTTTACCAAATTTCGCATCAGACTTCCGTGATGAAATATGGTAGAATACGTTACTATTGAAGCCTTGAATCGTGTGATAGCGAAATAATTACTTCCAAATGGGTCCAGCGACTTGTACAGGGTGAATCAGCTTTTTTCGAAATCATTTTTTTTACCATATTCCGCATCAGACTTCCGTGATGAAATATGGTAGGATACGTTACTATTGAAGCCTAAAATCGTGTGATAGCGAAATAATTACTTCCAAATGGGTCCAGCGACTTGTACAGGGTGAATCAGCTTTTTTCGAAATATTTTTTTTTACCGTATTTCGCATCAGACTTCCGTGATTAAATATGGTAGGTTACGTTACTATTGAAGCCTAGAATAGTGTGATAGCGAAATAATCACTTCCAAATGGGTCCAGCGACTTGTACAGGATGAATTAGCTTTTTTCAAAATCATTTTTTTTACCATATTTCGCATCAGACTTCCGTGATGAAATATGGTAGAATACGTTACTATTGAAGCCTAAAATCGTGTGATAGCGAGATAATTACTTCCAAATGGGTCTAGCGACTTGTACAGGGTGAATTAGCTTTTTTCAAAATCATTTTTTTTTACCGTATTTCGCATCAGACTTCCGTGATTAAATATGGTAGGTTACGTTACTATTGAAGCCTAGAATAGTGTGATAGCAAAATAATCACTTCCAAATGGGTCCAGCGACTTGTACAGGGTGAATTAGCTCTTTTCAAAATCATTTTTTTTACCATATTTCGCATCAGACTTCCGTGATGAAATATGGTAGAATACGTTACTATTGAAGCCTAAAATCGTGTGATAGTGAAATAATTACTTCCAAATGGGTCTAGCGACTTGTACAGGGTGAATTAGCTTTTTTCGAAATAATTTTTTTTACCCTATTTCGCATCAGACTTCCGTGATTAAATATGGTAGGTTACGTTACTATTGAAGCCTAGAATAGTGTGATAGCGAAATAATCACTTCCAATTGGGTCCAGCGACTTGTACAGGGTGAATTAGCTTTTTTCAAAATCATTTTTTTTACCATATTTCGCATCAGACTTCCGTGATGAAATATGGTAGAATACGTTACTATTGAAGCCTAAAATCGTGTGATAGCGAGATAATCACTTCCAAATGGGTCCAGCGACTTGTACAGGGTGAATCAGCTTTTTTCGAAATCATTTTTTTTACCATATTTCGCATCAGACTTCCGTGATGAAATATGGTAGAATACGTTACTATTGAAGCCTAAAATCGTGTGATAGCGAAATAATTACTTCCAAATGGGTCCAGCGACTTGTACAGGGTGAATCAGCTTTTTTCGAAATCATTTTTTTTACCATATTTCGCATCAGACTTCCGTGATGAAATATGGTAGGATACGTTACTATTGAAGCCTAAAATCGTGTGATAGCGAAATAATTACTTCCAAATGGGTCCAGCGACTTGTACAGGGTGAATCAGCTTTTTTCGAAATAATTTTTTTTACCGTATTTCGCATCAGACTTCCGTGATTAAATATGGTAGGTTACGTTACTATTGAAGCCTAGAATAGTGTGATAGCGAAATAATCACTTCCAAATGGGTCCAGCGACTTGTACAGGGTGAATTAGCTTTTTTCAAAATCATTTTTTTTACCATATTTCGCATCAGACTTCCGTGATGAAATATGGTAGAATACGTTACTATTGAAGCCTAAAATCGTGTGATAGCGAAATAATTACTTCCAAATGGGTCCAGCGACTTGTACAGGGTGAATCAGCTTTTTTCGAAATCATTTTTTTTACCATATTTCGCATCAGACTTCCGTGATGAAATATGGTAGGATACGTTACTATTGAAGCCTAAAATCGTGTGATAGCGAAATAATTACTTCCAAATGGGTCCAGCGACTTGTACAGGGTGAATCAGCTTTTTTCGAAATAATTTTTTTTACCGTATTTCGCATCAGACTTCCGTGATTAAATATGGTAGGTTACGTTACTATTGAAGCCTAGAATAGTGTGATAGCGAAATAATCACTTCCAAATGGGTCCAGCGACTTGTACAGGGTGAATCAGCTTTTTTCGAAATCATTTTTTTTACCATATTTCGCATCAGACTTCCGTGATGAAATATGGTAGAATACGTTACTATTGAAGCCTAAAATCGTGTGATAGCGAAATAATTACTTCCAAATGGGTCCAGCGACTTGTACAGGGTGAATCAGCTTTTTTCGAAATCATTTTTTTTACCATATTTCGCATCAGACTTCCGTGATGAAATATGGTAGGATACGTTACTATTGAAGCCTAAAATCGTGTGATAGCGAAATAATTACTTCCAAATGGGTCCAGCGACTTGTACAGGGTGAATCAGCTTTTTTCGAAATAATTTTTTTTACCGTATTTCGCATCAGACTTCCGTGATTAAATATGGTAGGTTACGTTACTATTGAAGCCTAGAATAGTGTGATAGCGAAATAATCACTTCCAAATGGGTCCAGCGACTTGTACAGGGTGAATTAGCTTTTTTCAAAATCATTTTTTTTACCATATTTCGCATCAGACTTCCGTGATGAAATATGGTAGAATACGTTACTATTGAAGCCTAAAATCGTGTGATAGCGAAATAATTACTTCCAAATGGGTCCAGCGACTTGTACAGGGTGAATCAGCTTTTTTCGAAATCATTTTTTTTACCATATTTCGCATCAGACTTCCGTGATGAAATATGGTAGGATACGTTACTATTGAAGCCTAAAATCGTGTGATAGCGAAATAATTACTTCCAAATGGGTCCAGCGACTTGTACAGGGTGAATCAGCTTTTTTCGAAATAATTTTTTTTACCGTATTTCGCATCAGACTTCCGTGATTAAATATGGTAGGTTACGTTACTATTGAAGCCTAGAATAGTGTGATAGCGAAATAATCACTTCCAAATGGGTCCAGCGACTTGTACAGGGTGAATCAGGTTTTTTCGAAATCATTTTTTTTACCATATTTCGCATCAGACTTCCGTGATGAAATATGGTAGAATACGTTACTATTGAAGCCTAAAATCGTGTGATAGCGAGATAATTACTTCCAAATGGGTCTAGCGACTTGTACAGGGTGAATTAGCTTTTTTCAAAATCATTTTTTTTACCAAATTTCGCATCAGACTTCCGTGATGAAATATGGTAGAATACGTTACTATTGAAGCCTAAAATCGTGTGTCGTGAGAACGACAATGTGCCAAAATGATACAGCTCACCCTTTGTGAATTGCACAGTTGAAACAAACACTTCGTTCATAAAATGTCGAAAACGGTTCGACTTGAAGTTATGAAGTTCACAGTGATAGTGGAAAGAATTTACCCTATTGTCTCATCGCTGATGTCACTAGAGTGGGGGCGTTAATTGCACTGATTCGCTGAAAATTGTAAACAAAAAAGGAAAGGATGGCGGCGAATTTCGAAAAGATTTATTTTATATACAACATTTATAAATCCGCTGTACCTATCACTCTTATATCATCTTAATAATTAAATTCCATGGAAAGATAGCCATTGAATGTTTGATTGTAAATAAAATAAGCTACTATTTCAATAGATTTTCTGTCTGTGTCCGTTCGTCTGCTATTTACAGGGTGTTTGACAACTTATATATCCGACAAATTTCAAGTATATGAGAAGTCGGTTACACACAAAAAAAAAAATTCCATCTTTTATAGAAAGGAAAGTGTTCACTTTTTCTGTTAGACTTTTATTATTACATGTTTTATGTGTAATTACATATGACTTATTCTTATATCATAGATCTAAATACACACGACCTTATAATTATGTAACAGCACTTTATTATCGATACCTGTATCTGGTGGAAATTTGTCGGATGAGTTGTTTAGGAACTAAGAGTAGCATGCTGTACAAGTCGCTAGACCCATTTGGAAGTAATTATTTCGCTATCACACGATTTTAGGCTTCAATAGTAACGTATTCTACCATATTTCATCACGGAAGTCTGATGCGAAATATGGTAAAAAAAATGATTTTGAAAAAAGCTAATTCACCCTGTACAAGTCGCTGGACCCATTTGGAAGTGATTATTTCGCTATCACACTATTCTAGGCTTCAATAGTAACGTAACCTACCA